GATCCTAACACCTATCAAGTTAGCAATCAATTGTTACAGTCACAAAGATCAATACGTACAAGTCAATTATGCATCTATCAGGTAGAAATGAACAATCCTAAAGTGAAATTAAAGAAACAACTCCATTCACAAAGAACATTAAATAGAATACATTAATTAGCATGGATTTGCTTTACAAGGTTTAATACCTGTACATTGCAAGCTCTAGAGTTTTACACACGGAGAACCCAGATTTACATGGTTGGAGAGGCCATTCCATGTTAATGGAATAAAAAATCACATCATTGGACATGGCTGAGACACTCAATGCTATCAGGACAGCAATTCTCTCCAAATTGACTTCTTGAATCAATCCTGTCCAGCTCCCGGGGGGGGGGGGGGGGGGGGGGAGGCACGGTTCTGAGGTTAAGAACCCTTGCTGCTCTTGCAGGGAGTCAGAGTTCGGTTCCTGGCACCCACATCAGGGGTCACAACTGTGTGTGACTTCTGTTTCAGGGAATTCAATGCCCTCTTCCGGCCTCTGCAGCCACTGTGCTGGCTTTGCCTATGGGGACTCACACATAACACATTTAAAAAAAGCAACCTAAAACAGGGGTAAAAACCCTTTAATCTTTCTTCCCAATCCTAAAATTACCAGGTTAATCATGAAATACATATGGAAATACAAAGATCTTAGAATAGCCAAAAACAACTTTAAAAAGAGACAGATGACTTGGGGTCCCTCGCTTCAAAACTGCAGGAGTCAGGACAGAGAATAGAAGAGTGTATGAAGATAAAGAATAGAACCTTATGTTTATACTCCATTTATTTTCAACAAAAAAAATGCAAAAGCCATTCAACGGATGGGTTGGCAGGCAGGATAGACATTTCCAGTCTAAAAGATGGACCTGAGACAATCAGATATCACTATAACAGAAAGCAGCTAAGACCCTTGAGTCACCCATATCAAAAACTATTGCAAGCTGCATCCCAGGCCTAATGGAAACAATTAAAAACATTAAAATCCTAGAAAAAAACATGAGGAGAATTTTATGACCTTGGACCAAGTAACAACTTTCTTCATCTCTAAAAGTTCATAAATAGAAGAAACAGACAATCTGGATATTATCAAAGATTTCAGAGAAACCATTAAGGGGAGAAAAAAAAAACCACACAAATCATGGACTTGGAGAAGGTGTGTGATAAAAAAACACTTCCATTTGGACTTTATGTGGGAAATTCTGACAACTCAAAGAAGTCAAGCAATTTAATCAAAAAAGGGCGGAAGATTCAAATAGACATTTACCCAAGAAATTACATGAATAGCTAATAAGGACATGAAAGGGTGGTTAGCATCAGTAGTCATTAGGGAAATGCAAATTAAAACAAGCACAAGCCACTAGAGTGGCTTCAGTCTAAAAGACAAGAGTTGGGGCTGATGAGAGGATGCTAGGCCACTCATGCATTGCTGGCGGTTTGCAGAAGGATGAGCCACCATGGAAAGTCATCTAGTGCCATTCCTTTAGGGAACCTGATGTAGCCAGCTCACATGGGTTTTTACTGTGTCAGTGGGAGAGGGATAGCCTCAATGGCATCCTCTCCAGATCTTAATATTGCATATTAAAATGTTGGCCTCTTCCCCTGTTACAGTTTTTCTGCCAGCCTGGTCCCACAGCCACATCAGTCTCAAATAACACACAGAGACACTCTATTAGATATAAAGCTGTTGGCCTGTCACTAGCATTTCTCATTGGCTAGCTCTGTCTTAAATATTAACCCATTTCTATTAATCTATGTATTTCCATGTGGTCTTGGCTGACCGGAGAGAGGGCCTGGACCTCTGCTCTCTTGGTCCTACATTTTTAATCTCCTCCTACCTCTCCCTCTATCCTCTTTGTCTCCTAGTCCCGCCTATCTTGCTTTCCTATTGGCCAACAGTGCTTTATTCATTAACCAATATAAGAAACATATTTACAGAATGACATCTCCCATCATTCCCCCACTGACTTGATATAGCTCATTTATTGTGTAAGCTAAACTTGTATGTGGAAGCAGGAATATCTATTCTGTTTCACTGGTCTGTATTCTTCTTATCAGACTTGTATATTTTAAAATATAGAGAGAAGTTTTACAATATGAGTTAGCAGCTGGTAGAGCTAGCCCTTATCCTTTGTGTATGTGTGTGTGCATGTGTGTGTGTGTGCACGCGTGTGTGTGATATGTTTATTTATTAGTACAGATGTGGGCGTGTGTATGGGGTATACCTGCACATGGATGCACATAGATATGTAGGCCCTAGGTCACCATCTGGCGTTTTCCCTCAAATTTGTCTGTAGAGACACGGTCTTTCACTGAACTTGAAGCTCATTGATTTGACTAGGCTGACTGGCCAGCCTGAGCTCTGGGGATCCACCTACCTCTACACCATCCTTTCCCTACCCCAGTGCTGCCATTACAAAAGTGCATGACCACGGCCAGCTTCTTACATGTGTCTGGGGAATCAGATTCAAGTCGGCATGTTTGGGTGATAGACCATGTCATCTTCACAGCCCCTTGTTTTACCGTTTATTTTGAGACATCTCTCTAAGTTGCCCAAGCTGGCCTTGAACTCACTTTGTAGCCCAGGCAAATCTTGATCTTTTAATCTTCCTGCCTTAGCCTCCCCAGATAGCTGGGATTACAGCCTATCCCAACAGGCCTGTCTCTCAGCTTCTTCACTGGGTTTATTTGTCTCTTCTTGGTATTTATGTCTTGTAACTGGACTTTTAAAATATTCGTTTATTCTGTTTTCGTGTGTGTGTGTGTGTGTGTGTGTGTGTGTGTGTGTGTGTGTGTGATGTGCGTGTGTGTGCATGTGTGTGCGCGCATGCGTGTGTGAGTATATATATCTGTGCACTGTGTGCATACAGGAACCCTCAGAGGTCAGAAAAGGGTGTTAGATTTCCGGAACTGGAATTGAACATGTGTCTTCCAAAAGAGGTATATACACTTTTATATACTTTTTAACATCTGAGACATCTCTCCAGCCCTTAAGTAATCATGTAAGAAAATGTTCTACATTAAAAAAGAATCCTAATGGTGTTCTCATTGACAGAAATTAACTCAAGGAAAGGTCACATTTTTCATGATCTTATTTCACCCTAGCTGAGACATGAGACATGCCATATTTTTGTATGTATCCAAACCTGTTTTTGTATCTTTGAGAAGATTTTTCAGTTCTCTTTAGATTGGCATATTTTCTAATTAAATTCTTTCCTTTGTTTACATTTTGTTTAAGTTTTCCTTTTTCTTTATGGTAGGAGGAAACTCTTTAATTATTATATCATCTGTCTGCAATTATTTGTCTTTCATATGCATCTGTCTATCCATAATCTATCTATCTTCAGCTATTATCAATCAAACTATCTAACTATCATCTGTCTATCATCCATCTATCCTCATTATCTATCTATCTATCTATCTATCTATCATCTGTCTGTCTGTCATCTATCATCTATGTATCTATCATCTATCTTTCATCTCTCTACCTGTATATCTATTTATTTGTATTAGTTAGTTTTTCTGGTGTGATGACACACCATGACCCATTCAGCTTGTAGAAGGAAGGATTTATTTGGCTCACAGTCCAGAGGGTTAGAGTCAGTCATGAAGAGAAGGAAACATGGCAGCCAGAGCAGAAGCTGAGGGCTCACATCTTGAACCCACAATCAAGAAACAGAGAAAGAGTCTCGGGAATTCCGCATGGCGCTGAAGCCTCAGCGCTCACCTCCAGCTTTTAGAAGTGTGAGCACACCTCCTAAGCTGACACAAACAGCTATGTCAACAGGTGACCGAGTATTCAAACGCCTGAGCCCACTGGGGATAATTCTCCTTCAAATCATACTTTGTAACCTCCAGCATCACCCTGTTTATCTACCCACCCGCTCATCTACCTATACCACATATATGTATAGCTTATAATATTCTTGTCATTTGTGAATCTTTCTTCTAGTTCAAGGACTTTTGTTATTACCACCGTGTGGAGTGTAACTGATTTTCCTGGTTGTTAGTGTCTCAGGTGAAAGGGTTACTTGGACAGCAGCCTCCTGCCTAAAACAAAGCTCCCGTGGCCACGCCCCCTCTTGTAGCTCTTCTCCACCAGTGGAGTTGCTCTGGGACCTCAGGAGCTTCTCCGGGCTCTCAGACTGCCTGTCTAGGCTTAGTTGTCCTGGTAGGATATCCTGGGAGGATGTTTAGAGTCTAGACCAAAATTATGTTCCAGCCCACCTCAGGAGGCAGCAGTTGGGGGAAGGAGGCAAAGGATGAATGTAAATAAAGGAATTGTTCCTCAGTGGGTCTCCATTGTGTCAACTCTGGAGAGGAGGGGACAGGGACCAGACAGGGGAGCCACAGTTACCTTAGCTAGGAGTGGGACCTGGGACCAACCCAGAGCTGCCCTAGAAATAGGAGGAGAAACCTGGGACACCCCCGCATACCTTAGCTGTGGGACACCCAGAGTTACCCCAGTCATAGGAAGGGAATCCTGGAACAGCCCTAGAGTTACACCCAGACTCCATAGAGGGACAATGTGTAGCTCAGGGTTTGCCCAACTATGAGAGAGGAAGCCTGGCCTCCACCCTCCTGAGCCCTGGTCCCATGCTAAGGGTGCTCAGGACTCCTGATCCCAGCCAGCCAGGGGAGCAGATCAGGATGCGGTCTCTGCTTAGCTAGCAGTCTTGGCTTCTCTGGCATCCACAGACTAGTCAGACACGGTAGCATACAAGGCTGGTTATCTGGGGGTGTTGGCGAAGCCCCTCTCACAGAGTTGGTGTGCAGAGGGGAATGTGTGCAGGTGACAGATGGGGTTAGATGTGATGTGCTCCGCCAGCAGCAGGCATGTGTGAGTGAATGGACACACGAGGCTGGCTGGCTGCGCTCACACAGTCCGTGTCTTCCATGTGCAGCTCCGTTCCTGCCTCCCTGCTCTGCTCAGGCCTGCCCTGCCTTAAGTGGTCAGGAGTAAATGGAGGCCCTTCCGTGTCAGCCCCCCCCCCCCCCCCCCCCCCCCCCCCCCCCCCCCCCCCCCCCCCCCCCCCCCCCCCCCCCCCCCCCCCCCCCCCCGCCCCCCCCGCGCCCCCGCCCCCCCCCGCGGCGGCCCCCCCCGCCCCCCCCCTCCCCCCCCCCCCCCCACCCCCCCCCCCACCCCCCCCCCCCCCCCCCCCCCAACCCCTTTAACCCTAACCCTAACCCTGAACCCTAACCCTAACCCCAACCCCAACCCTAACCCTAACCCTGAACCCTGAACCCTAACCCTAACCCTAACCCTAACCCTAACCCTAACCCTAACCCTGAACCCTAACCCTAACCCTAACCCTAACCCAACCCCTAACCCTAACCCTAACCCTAACCCTAACCCTAACCCTAACCCCAACCCTAACCCTAACCCTAACCCTAACCCTAACCCTAACCCTAACCCTAACCCTAACCCTAACCCTAACCCTAACCCTAACCCTCAACCCCAACCCTAACCCTAACCCTGAACCCTAACCCCCCCTAACCCTAACCCTAACCCTAACCCTAACCCTAACCCTAACCCTAACCCTAACCCCAACCCCAACCCCAACCCTAACCCTAACCCTGAACCCTAACCCTAACCCTAACCCTAACCCTAACCCTAACCAACCTAACCCTAACCCTAACCCTAACCCTAACCCTAACAACCTAACCCTAACCCTAACCCCCCCCCCCCCCCCCCCCCCCCCCCCCCCCCCCCCCCCCCAACGGGAAGGAAAAAAAAACAAAAAAAAAAAAAAGGGGGGGGGGGCCCCCCCCCCCCCCCCTTTTTTCCGGGGGGGGGGGGAGACCTCCCCCCCCGCGGGGGGGTTTGGGGAACGCGCCCCCCCCCCGGGGGCCCCCCCCAGCGGAGAGAGGCGGGGGCCCCCCCCCCCGGGTTTTTGGGGGGGGGCCCCGCAGCCCCATTTGTCTGCGTTTTCCCCCCCCCCCGGGGAGAGGTGCAGGGTACAGCATAGGTCAGATGCAGGGATGGAAGATGCAGGTCATTTCTTGGTCCCTGGAGGCTGGGTGGCTTCCTCTGAGATCTCCCTCAGCAGGTAGCTTGTTTGTTTTGTTTTTGACCAGGGATGTCCTGATTGTGTTCCCATGTGTGTCTTCACGGCCTCCTCCCCCATGAGAGGGCAGGGACAGAGCCCATTCACTAGCCCCAACATAATCCTTCTCCCCTCCCCCACTGATCAGTGGGCTTAACCATGGGAGCTTGGGTTTGGGGACCTTTTACTGGGTGTTCACACTGGGGAGGGTTCACACTGGGGAGGGTTCACACTGGGGAGGGTTCACACTGGTCTGAGGATCCAGTGCAAGTGGCCAGAGCTGCTGGGGCTGAAGGAGGCCAGCACACCCCCTCCCCTCTCCACAAGTCCTCCTCCTGTGAAGAGATGGAGGCCATTGTGGGGGTTTCCAGTACAGACCTGTAGGCACTGATAGACACCGTCAGGGGACAGTGTGTGGAGCTGTTTCCTGTGATTGTTTCAGTTGGTGCAGGCTGAGGGAGGAAACCAACAGTGACAAACCAATTGCACCCTGATCAGGGGACAATGAAGTGTAGGGAGGCACCACCAAGAGTCTATAATTTCCCATGGAATTGCTCTTTAGTCTTCCTGGGGCTGCTGGATGACACGGTCGGGCTGGGTGGGAACCACAATTAGGCTGCAGCCACTGGGGAGGGTGGGTTTTCTTTTTGCCCTCTAGACAATGGAAGATTAAGCCATCAATAGCCAGTGTTCAGTTGCGATGGTGAAATGGCCCATTGTTAGTTAGAGGCGTGAGGGAGGCTCTCCCCCAGCAGCAGGAGGGTGAATTGGCCTGTTTTTTCTTCCCACCTCTATTGTAGCAGAGAAATAACAAGCCAAGGTGCACCCAAGCCGCTCTAACGACCCCACAACTGCACTACCTCATCCGGCTCAGAGGAGGATGGAGTGCCACAGGCTCCAACACATGCACACACAAAACCACGGGCAAAGCCTATCTGTGCCTGGTGGACAGGTGCAGGTGGCTCATAGCCGGCCCCTGGGTGACTGTGCTAGCTTCAGGGCTGGATCTGCTCACATCTGCACCTGCTGCAGCTTTAGTGTTGGAATGGCTTACTGTAGCACCTGCCGCCAGCTGAGGGCAGGTTCTTTCCCTTTGTAAATCCCTACCCAAAATATATGACCACAGCACCTACACACACACACCCCTACCCAAAATTATATAACCACAGCACTTACACACACACACACACACACACACACACACACACACACACACACACCACTCCTCTGCTCTCCATTGCTGAGGCTTACTTCTTTGGAAAACTCAAGACATTTGATGTCTTGTTTTGTTTTGTTTCCTGACCCAAGGTCTGGTATATCCCAGGCAGGCACTGAAGACGCCATGTAGCCAAGAACGACCTTGAACATCTGATTGTCCTGGCTCTATACGTGCTGGGGTATAGACATACACCATTTTCCCAGTTTGTTACACAGTACTCCTGCTGGCATTGCAAGCACCTTATTGATCAATCACGTCCTCAGTCATGCCATTTCCTAAGCTTCTGTAGCCATGCACAGAAAGGATGAGGGTTCTTGGTATATCTAAGACATCTGACAGCTCACGTCCGAATGGGGAGGAATCAGGTACTTTGCTTGCCAGAGGAGAAGGACTACGATGCTCGTCTGTATCCAGCAGTAATCTAAATGCAAGCAATGAATCAGGAACAGTTGGCCTCACACTCAGGGCTTCTATTGGCCCGCTCTTAACGTAGTCATCTAGTGTCTGCGTTAAACTTATTTATTCCCTAATGCTGGTTGATGGATTAAAAGATGTGTAGAAAATCCTTCTACAAGAGATAAGATATTGCAGGCTGCCAAACACCCCTGGATCTTTTTGCTTTTTTCCCCCCATCTCTCTCTGTTTTGCCTACTTTTCACGACTGAGCTCAGGGCCCCCACATCATATATCCTGATTAGTTTGTGGAAATTACTAAGGGGTTGTTTTTTAAGCCTATCATTGACACATTTAATTCATTAGGTACCAAATCCACAGGCAAATTTTGGCTGGCCATAAAACATGGTTAATCCAGGGAGCTGCAATAAAAGGTGAAAAATTATGTCCCAGCAAATGTGGAATATTGCTTTTCTGTAGAGACTTTTACTGGTCCGCGGTATCTTTCTCCATAAATTTCCCTTCTGTTTAGTTCTCTCAGTAACTTAACCATTTGTTGCTTGCAGACCGCAGAATGGCTCCATGATACTCTACAACAGGAAGAAAGTGAAGTACAGGAAAGACGGGTACTGTTGGAAGAAGAGGAAAGATGGAAAAACCACCAGAGAGGACCACATGAAGCTCAAAGTCCAGGGAGTTGAGGTAAAGGGCAGAAAAGGCTCCCCTGTCCCCCAAATGTCATTTCTGGGCCACTGTGGAGAATTCGGAGTTGCTTGTGAGCGATCTGATGCCAGTCACACTATCAAAGGAATTTCTCTTGTTTGTCAAGTCCCCAATGCTGGTGTTGGCTTCTGCCCTCTTACCTCAGAGTTTCTCTTCATTTCTTTTGGAGCTGACCCCGGCCAAGGTGTTCCGCTCCATCCTTGGAGATGGAGATTGGCGAGATGCCTGCAAGGTCCTCTACTATGTTTATCATATGTGTCTCTGGGTGCTTTGGGGTTGTGCTGGGTTAGGTCTCTGGGAAAACGGATGTTGTTGTGAGGAAATGTTCTCTCCCAGTGCTTTGGCCAGCTGATAGTGACCTTCAGGGCTGGGCAACTCTCCTCACGCTAATAGTTCATCTCCCTGCGTGCGTTTCAACTTCTACAGAGTTAAAAGTAATGACAGGGGTTCTCGGGTGAGCCGGGCTCCTGCAGTGCTGGAGTGGAAAGGGATCCGTAGGAATGGCTTGTGATCTGGAACAAACTCAGTATTTGGCTTCCTGAATGTGACCTTGCTCTTCTGGCTCTAAGCCATGGGCAGCATTAGAGATGTCCCTTTCCTTCAGAGGATCCTGCAGGACCTCTAATTAGCCAGTACGGCTTCTCTCACATTCCTTGCTAGTCCCACCAAGGGTCTTACCTGCCACCCCCAAAGGAATGTGGCCAGGGATATACTTCAGGAGAGATCTCAGAAGTTTCCCAGGATTCAACTGGCGTTTCAGAGAGGTAAAGGCCAGCATCCTAGCTACTGTCATGTCCAGTGTCTGGCACATCTCAGTGGGCAGCAAGGACCAAGAGCCCACTTGTGTTCTGAGGACTGCCCTTGGGCACTGACGGTTTTGTGGCACACTTTGTCATGCCGATATTTTTTTCTGTGTTAATTATGTGCTTTTATGGCTGCCAAAAATAGCATCAAATGGCTTTTATTATATTACCCCATGGAGAGAGATAACTTTCATTTTATGTGTATGTGCTTTTTTTTTTTTAATATACCAATAAGAATTGTTTTATGGTGATGAATAAGAAAAGCCTGGTATGAGAAATTCCAGTTCCCTCTCCTCTGCCTCGTGTGCAGTTTAATTGACTGCATGGAACATTAATGTGCAGATTACCCGAACGTGCCGCTGGAAAGAACCATCTCCAGCACTGTGACCAGGGTCCCGCTAATACATACACATTAGCCCTTCTTGCCAGGAGCCCAGAGAGTGGAGGCTTGTGCTCTGGGAGGGGGCGTTCTTATCACCCCCACAAAGGAAGAGTAGGTAGAGGCAGAAAGAAAGCTTGGGTGGGGGCCGAGGGAAAGGAAGCTGCTTATGCAGGGACATAGAGAGCCTGCAGGGATTCACACTAAACCTCAGCAAGCAGCCCCCGTGCCTGGAGGCCTGTGGTATATTTCATCTTTAGTAATACGTAAATCAGGAACTCCTGGTTGTAAGTAACAGCAGGGTGGAATTCGTCCTCAGCAGTAGTTTGGAAGCCCAGGGAAAAAAAAAGGCGCCGTGTTCATTTTCTTCCCTCTTGTTATAAATTAGAATTGTCACCGTATGGAATGAGAATGATTTATGGCTATTTTTAGGCCATATTTATGTTGGGTGTTATTTGTGGTGCTCAGCCTTGCAGGCTACAGCCTGGCTCCTCGGATGTGGAGGAGGGGGATGCACGCAGATCAGAGAGGGCCCTCAGTGGCCTGCTGGCCATGAGCAGCCCTGTGAGTGGTGGGACTGGGAGGCTTCCATGGCGATGCCTTGGCCAATGACATTGCCTTTGTTCCTGGGTTTTGGAGAGGGAGGCCACCTCCAGCTAAGCTTGATGGTGGCTGGTCTTTGTCTTTGCACTTAAGAGTATTATCCCACTGACCTCGGCAACAAGTAACAGCTGTATGCCCGCTTTTGCGAGCTCTCTACAGAGAAAGAGGGAGGTGTATTGACTGCCCACAGACTCGGAGTTGGAACAAGAAGGCGGCCATGTTTGCACATAATGCTCATTAGCAGTGTAGAGAAGTGTGAAAGGCTAAGTGTCCTCAAGAGTTCAGGATGGGCTGCAGCTGCTGGAGATGCTTCTTGGGCTAGGTGGGGTGTGAAATGAATTCTTGGAATATGGGGATGGTGTGTGCATGAGAATAATTAGCATGTTGTTTTACAGTTTGTCACTTACTATCACCAGATAGCCAGGCCTACATTGTCTTCTGACCGTTTTTAAATGGCACTATCATATTCCTATGTATGTATACTAAGCTGGCCCCTCAACTTGGAGAAGACCCCTGGGCTGTTGGCATTATCATTACTGCCTGACCAAGCATCTGCACACAGGTCTTCTTGGGCACATAAGCAGTCTGGACCAGGCATTGCTGGGCGTGAGAGTTTCATCTTGGCTAGACAATGCCAAGTTGCTCTTGAGTGACTGTTCTAATTACATGCCTACCAGCACTGGAAATGACCTCCTCCCTACGGTACCTCAGAAGATGGTACCATGTTCAGTGTGAATTCCAGTTTCCCCCTCTTATTCGAGGGAGTGGGCTCCTTCTTGTTGAAATAATTGCCTCTCCACGGTTACGGAATTTTAAATAGCCCAGGGGAAGGGCTTTTTGGCAATGTCAGCCCCTACACTTCATTGGTGGCATTTCTCTGTTCACCATGATCTGGAGCAGGGCTGGGAAGCCCAGTGGGTAGTCTTCACCAGCTGCAGTCAGCTTCCCTCCCTGTGGACTCTTCAGTTAGGTCCTGTGACAGGCGCCTGTGCCCCCCAAGCATTAGTCCCCTCCTGCTAGATGGACAGCCAGGGTTTTAGAGTTGTGGATTCCTTATTATTCCAGTGGGTTTCCTCCATTCAAGGGCATGATAAAGACATCTGGGTCTATCATTTAACATATCACTTGCTATAAGCCTTCCCCGAGGGCAGGAAAACTTCCAGCAAGCGGAAGGGAAGCTCAGTTCTGGCTTTTTGTTCTCAGGGGCTGGGGCCTTCACACACATCGATTTCCTCAGCTGGGCACAGGGTGCACAGGGCACAGGGTGTGGCAGCGGCAGCTTTTGAAGCTGACTGGCTATTAGTTCGCATCCAGCTGTCTTGCCTGGGAGCCAAGGAGAAGGCTGCTCCACAAGCTTCCAGGGTTGCCAAGGCTGGTGGGGGGGGGGCTGGGATGCCAGCGTTATCACAAATGAGGCCTCAGCAGGTCTGAAGTGGGTCCTGCCCCCAAGCTGACTCCTGATCTGGTATTGCCCAGGAAGGGGTCATTCTAGCGACCACTGTGCCACATTCACACTCGACAGCGGCCATCAGCCAGAGAGCCCTTCTGGAAGATTCCTTCCCAAGTGTATGGCCCTTTTCTCTGGCTGCCAATGCTGACAGGCTACTTTCTATCCAATCACCCTTCTCCACAGACCCCTGGCATGTCTCCTAGCCAGACCAACTCTCAGCTTCCATTTTCTCACGCCTTTGCTGCTGGGTTCCCAGGGAGACAGGAGCTGTATGTACCCTCAGTGTATAGACAACCACGAGTTCACAAACCTCCCGTCAACAGCGCATACTGGCTTTGCCTGGTTCTCCTCAAAACATCTGGCCAGAACACATATCCATTCCTGTTCCATAGCTGGAGAGATCAGGCCTTCAGAGAAAGGGGCTCTTAAGACCCAGAGCTGGGACTGGAGCCTAAGCATTCCAGGCTTTAAGCTTAAGCATTGTCCCTGGCACTCAGGGTGATCTTAGGCTTTCAGGTTAGCCCAGCCCATGCTTGCTAAAAGAATGTAGGCAGCATTGAAGGCAGACCCAGTTTTAGGGCAGCATCGTAGATTGGGGCAAAGCACGGGGAGCATTCAGGTGACAGATAAAGGTTGGCAATGATGGTGTCTCTTGAGAAATGATCTGTGGAACTGTCCCCAACTAGGGACTGGATTAAGGCATGTGGGTATTTTTCCCAGTTTTGGCCAAACTGGACATCTGCTTCCTGTGTGCCTGGAATATTGCATAAGCCTTTTCATGGCTAGGGTAAATAGCTCTCCATCCCCCACTCAGATAGAGAATCAGTGGCAGACAGAAAGATGATCCTGCCAATGCCCAGCGTGGGGGAAACCCCACGCTTACTGACAGGGCAAGGGTGAGGGGTGCTTAAATGAGTTCGGGTCACCCCAAAGCAGCCACACCATCAAAAAGTCACGGGTGACCACGGGGCCACGTGTCGCTGAGCCACAGGTACAGGGGCCATCACCAGCTCTGAGGTGGGGGTCTCGTGACCCTTCCCATTCCTCCCCCTGATCCGAAGGGTGACTTGAGAGTAGTCACAGCTGCTTTGACGAAGACCCTAATGGCTCCCTTGCTTAGAGTACAGGGATCCTCTGCTCTGATCTTAAGATGCCCCTTGGTGAAGACAGTCTGCCCTTCGGGGTCAGTGAACGGGGCCGGTATCGTGGCTGCTAGAACAATGGAAGTCCGGATCCCACACTGCTTCTGTGATGAGGTGGGGTCTCCAGCCTGGACCATCCCTGGGTGGAAATGCCAGTCCATCTCCTCAGACAGTCGCTTTCTGATGTGAACGTTTTGCTGACCTGTTTGTGCTGCCTGGAAAGAACCTCGTGTCTCTCACGTCTCCATTAACTGCCTTAAAGCAGGAAGGCTGGCGTTAGTACAGCAGTGGCTATAATGAGGTTACGTTTGGGGACTCGTCCTCATTAGAATGGTGTTCTTTATTTGAGCACTTAGGCCACATATTAAAAAAGAAAAAAAAGCACCTCTTTCAAAGGCAGAAGCGATATTGTAGTTACTGCATTAGGAATTAACAGGGCATGAAATAACCGCCTCGTGGCAGAGCCAGATCACTTCAGCTCTGTTCCCAGCCGTAAGATAAATCGGTATCTTGCTTGCAGATGATGGGAAATGCTCACAGTAGCCAGCCTAAACAGGTCTGGTGCCCAAATCAAGTTTGGGAGGCAGCAGTGAATAGATAAG